GACCTGGACTTGAAGAATGCGCTGGGCTGAGTCTTGCAGCTGTACAAAAGACTCACCCATCGAACGACTGGTCTCGGCTGAGCAGCACTCAATGTGCTGGTCTGAGTCTTGAAGTCTTAGGGTTTAGGGTTTAGGGTTGGTCTGTTGCATGGGCTCGGGCTGAATGGCACTCACCCTACGACCTGGACTTGAAAAGTGCGCTGGGCTTGGGGCACTGGCAAACTCACTCACCCTACGACCTGGACTGAACATTCCTGCAGTGTTTGAATCACCCTTTATCACCCTTTGCCCTTGCCCCCGGCCTTCATATCACCCTCACCCCGGGCAGCGGTGAGCTCATTCTTCAGTTGCCAGTTTTCGAGCGAGAGCGCGGTCACCCTGGCCTCCTGGGTCTCCAGCTGCGAACGGAGCTGCAAGCGGACGGTGCGGTCCGTTTCGCAGGTGTCCTTGAGCTTGGCCAAGTCACCCTGGGCTTTGAGAAGGTCCTTCTTGGCCTGTTCCAGCTCCTTCGTCACCCTATCCAGATCTTTAAGAGCCAGGGCGTCCTGCACGGCCAACTTCTTCGCCGACTCACCCTTAAGGTCTGCGATCTCCCTCACTCTTCTCTCCTGACCAGGGTGAAGGCTTCAGGAGTGCTATTACAGGGATCATACTTACTTCGGGATTGTTTTTCAGGTCACCTTTCAGGGGATCATACTATCTGCATATCACCATAACGCCATAAGCCTCTGCTTCGCTGAGGTCGGCCGCTCTCTGGAAGCTTTGGTTCACCAGTTTGTCCTGCCAGGGGGTTCAGGCTCAGCTCAAGTAGTTCAGGGGGCTTAGTCAGCCCTCTTAACCGGCCTCCAGTGCTTCCTTCTCCTTCTGAAACTCAGCGGCCTGCGTCACCAATCTCGCCTTCAAGCGGCTTACTGAGTAAGTGTCAGGCCTTAATAAGGGTTTTGTATAATCTTATTTTATGGCCTCGGCTTCTGAGAGCGCCGTCGCATGATCGGCAGCTTCTTGGGCCCNNAGGGGTTCAGGCTCATGTCAAGTGTTTGGTATCACCGATTCACCGATCCTCATTTAGACTACAATCCCCGGCAGACTCCGATTCCCAAGCCGAACAACCTGAAGCCCACAACTGGTCCACAACCCTCACCTCGAGGCGCTGTAGCTGACCCTGCAGGTCTTCGATCGTGAGGCCTGCAGCAGCATACAGCGATCCTCGCATCCGCGAGGACGGGGTTTGAGTCCTTCCAGCACAGAAGAATAGATGTTAAGTTTCAGGCCGTAGGGTTATTATATGACGGTTTTAAAAGGACCTCGGGCTTTCAACCTGATTTTCAATATAAAAATTTACAGATCCCGAAATTGTCCTGGATGCACCCTGGCCCTTGCCGGTGGTGAAATCATCACCCTTGCCCTTGCCTTTCCAGCCCTCGCCGCTACTGAAGTCACCCTTGCCGCCCTTGTAGTACTCGACGAACCACGGGCCATACTCATCGGGCGGTGCGGCGGCGCCTTTGCCGCCCCAGAATGCCCATCCGTACGGGCCGTACGGGTCACCCTGAGCGCCTTTGCCTGTCCAGCCGAATAATTCATCATTCTGAGACCAGCCGAATAAGTCACCCTGAGAGGGGGTTAGCCAGCCGCCACAGGCAGGCCAATCCATGGCGGCAAAAAAGTCACGGCAACTCACGACAGTTTCACCCTAATTGACTGCACCCTGAGGGAACTTCCAAGCGCTCAGCATGACTGAAAATAATCTGAACTGCACCCTGAGGGAACTTCCAAGCCCTCATCAGCATCACTGACTTGAGCGCAAAATCTGCAACAACATGATTTGCACCCTCACGTCACAACATGTTGTGCAGCATGCCCGACATACCACATGGTCACTCGACCCTTCACCCTTGAAGCCTCAACCTTAAAATGCACAACATGTTGTGCAGCATGCCAGACATGCAACATGGCCACTACCAACCCCTCACCTTTGAAACCTCAATCACTATCAACCCCTCACCCTTGAGACCTCAACTCTACTTTCAAATCTATGCTCAATCACCCTGTCCATGCTTAGGGTTTAAAGTTTAGGGCATGGGGTTTTGGGGGTTTGGGTTTGGGGTTTAGGGGTTTAGGGGTTTTGGGTTTAGGGTTTGAGGGTTTAGGGTTTAGGGGTTGAGGGTCTTTAGGGTTTTGGGATTTGGGGTTAAGGATTGAGGGTTGCG